GATGTGGCTATGAGCCAGACTAGTTTCGGAGAATTCCACTCCTCATCAGTGACCCTGGACACTACCACCAATGAAAGTTCAGACCAAATCAAGGTATCGAAAATCGAAATGGTGTATTTAAATGTTTATACACTCACAAAAAAGAAACCTATCATTCTATAGGTATTTGACCTAAATACACCAAAAAAATCAACTATTACAAAAGGTACATAGTTAATCAAATTTGTCAACTATCAGTCTATGCATCATTTGGGGGAAAAACGTTTGTTTAATGAATGAAATCAAACAATGCACAGATTCTGCCTCAAACTAAAAAAAAGTGGCTCTTAAGGGTTAAGGAAAGAAAGGCAGCATGTGTGAGACAAACGACCAAACCATGATTCTTAAATCCTAATGTTTTTTTTTATAAGATTTCATGAATTTTAAATTATTTTCAAGCACAAATTTTAATAATAATACTACATTAAAATAATGTACAGGCTTTCGGCAAATGTGAATGGAAAACTAATTAAGAAATAAAAACAAAACTGAATGCTTACCTAACTCACAGGATATGAAGAACTAACGTTAAATACTGTTATATCACTATTTTCAGTTAGAATAGCCTATGTTCGTTATCATACGGCATTTGCATGCTCTTTCATTTTTCATAAACTAGAATTTTGATTTCTAATATTTGAAGTTTCGGAACTTTACAAATACAAATTTGAAATTTATAAAAAAGTGTAAAATAAATACACAGGCGGTGGAAGCAATAGTTACCTTGGAGGGTGTGTGTGGCTAAAGTATGCGCAATTCTTGAACATGGTAATCCTATGGGGATCGGGGTAGACTTCACTTGAAGCATTTCCTAAAATATACTTTGTCAAAACGCAAAGATGGTAGCCTTAAGATAAATAACTGGTTTTAACCTACCTCCAACTAGCTTTGACGTTGGGGTTAACGTCTCCCTGCACCTCTCGTTTTTACGCTTATGAAATACATTTCTCAAAATTCTTACCTAAACATTTGTTTGAAGTTAAGAAATAATTGTAAAAATACCACTAAAAACAAGTAACTATTCATTCAATAATTTAAATTGCCAGAAGTATTAAATTCATTTGGATATATTAAAGCTTAGTGAGGGTTCATGACAAACACTACATGAAATCCTGTGGTGCGTGACAAGTGAATCTAGGAAAAAGTGAAGAGGGAATAATGAAAACAAGAAGACAAAATGAGTAAGATAAGAAATCCAAGAGAATCCTAGAAACTTAAACTGATGTAAAATAGAGATATGAATAAAATATTAGGAAACATTTCAGATAATGTGGAAAATGAAACATTGAAGTGATCGATGGTTCTTGGAAACGCAATTTGCTAAGTGTAAACCATGAAAAGACACTTTTGTACACACATTAAGCTTAGGAGTTTTGAGTGGAGATTTTTAAAATCGTGTAGCAGATTAGAAATTGTTTTACAAAGCAAAGTTGAATGTAAGCGAATTGATAATAACACAGAAATGAGTAAAGGTAGAATAATGATATACAACAAACTGTTTCAGCGCATAGCAAGAATGGTTGAATATAGTTTAATGTTAAATAATAGTTTTTTTAATGCAACCTGTCTTTCCTGAAGCTGAAGACAGACTCTCTTGAACAAAGAATCTTACACTTTCAACTACAGTAAAAGTGGGGAAAAATAGCTAATAAATCCAGATATTTATGGTAAGCTCACGTAATCTAGTGGGCCTAACAAGGGTTGGTGGTTAGGATGCTCGACTTGCAATCTAGGCGTCGCGGGATTGAAACCCGTCGCCAGACATGCTCGCTCTTTCAACCGTGGGGGTATTATAATGAGTTGGTCAGTCTCACTGTTCATTGGTTAAAGAGTAACTCAAGAGTTGACGGTTGGTGTTGTCTACTAGCTGTTTTTTCTCTAGTCTATCACTTTAAAACTAGAGAAGGCTAGCGCAGATAGCCCTCGAGTAGTTTTTGCACAAACATTCAACAAACAAACTTATCCCCCAAAACAACTGAGATGCTAATATACAAGAAAACAAACGCTAAATGCTGCCTGCCCTCATCTATCTCCCAACTATTGATTAACATAATTGAAATTACGAGCTTGTTATTCGTACACTATACAGGGAGTGAAGTATAGATAATTTAGAAAAACATGCTCATATACTAAAGGTATATATATATATATATATATTATATTTTACAGGGAGGTGGGTTTATGGTGATGCACCAAGGTAGAGGTTGGAAACTATTTTATGATAAAGTACTTACCACACTAGGTACGTAATTACAATTATACACTGCTGCATGCTTTAACTAGTTTGTAGCTGCTATTTCTCACTTTTAAGATTAAGAATATAATCACAATGGGAATTAGCTAATGCTATGGTTATAACTTACTTTATATTACATAATACACAACGTGACACATTAAATAAGGGATGACATATTAACCGAAGTATGACACACAACACTACATATAACGCAATACTTTAGGTATGCCACATTGAAGTAGGTATAACATATTACATAAGGTGCGGCATACCGAATAAGATATCACACACCAAACAAAGTATGAAATGTTGTACAATGCATGACATATTAATCAACTTATCACATGTTACGTAAGACATAATGAAGAACACAGGCTATTAGATATTGTATAATACCACTTATAACACAAATTACATTACATCAAAGGCCAAATACACAATTATACATCAATTGTTCACATTCCGCAAAAATGAAATCAGGAAAAGAAATGAGATTATTACAATTTATTCCTTGAATCAGAGAAAACTCCACAGAAGTATATTGTCGTGTGAGGTTAATACATCATTCGACTATTAAAATACTTTTGGACATATAGAAAAAAACAAGTTGAAAGCTTCCCCAAGGTTCGTAAACTATTGGTAATTGAATTAGAATGTAGTATCTACTGCCGTATACATCTTGAGTGTAAATATTTTAACTAGTTCTAAAGGTTTTACTCATATAATTGTAAATTGGTAGTATGTTCTTTTTATTAAGTTTCTTGAATGTTGATGATAAGAAAATATTTTGAATGATTATTTGTCTTATTCGTTTGTTGTTAAGCACAGACAAACTAAACAATGGGCTATCTATGCTGTGCCCACCATAGCTACTGAAACTCGGCTTTTAGCGTTATAAGCTTTCGGACTTACTGATGAGCCACTGGAGGGGGGCATAAAATATTACCGTCAATAGAATTAAATTTAACATGAAAAACTGGATTAGTCTTCCATTATCTTTTATATATGAACAACCATTAAAACTAGAAAATAAAGCTCTCATTCAAATATTGAAATGTAAACTGAAGGAAAAGGGTTTTAACCAAGCGTTAAAATACACTGAGACATGTAAAGTTCCATGAGACGTTCTCAATTTCGTTTGTAAAACTTTCATTATATTATATTACACTAACGAAATAGATTGATTTAAATAGAAAAAAAATACACCTAGTGACTATAATTTGGATAGCTAGATTGGAAAGTTTTAATTTTTGTTTCGTTTGTGTTTAATAATAACAATCTCAATAAGATACAATTAGAAATAATTAAATGCGTAAGGGCTGACTTGATGGATAAATCTAATGTAGTTATAAAACTGTTTCTATCCTTAACACCTGTCAGGAACAAAGTGAACTTATTTCCTGAAAACACAATCTTAAAAAGAGTAAAAAATAAATCTTTCCTTGACAGGTAATTTTGTAGTTTCGAAAGTACAGAAAACTAATTTTTTATGAATAATTCATTCTATGGCCAAAAGTTCGGCTCGAATATAAAGCGCAGGATTAGAATTTGTTGTTACATGATCAATCCATGTAATCAAGAAAAGCATGAGCACACATAGTTTAATTAATCACGATTCGAATCACGATTTATCGGCATAATTCCGTTGAAAATATACGAACTATGTAATCTCCATCAATATGTACCCTCCAATGAAACGCATAGTCTATGTGAAGTAACCTAAATTAAATTGTGTTGTATAATGAGAAAAACGAGCTGCGAAAAGTAATCTAAGCTAAAGTGTTCTCTCTGCTGTCATATGATAGTAGTGCAAAAGTTATCCGAACTAAAGTTTTTCTGTGCTGTGATATGATAGCAGTGTAAAGTTATTTGAACTAACGTTTTTTCTGTGCTGTGATATGATAGTAGTGCAAAGTTATCTGAACTAAAGTCTTTTCTCTGCTGTCATATGATAGTAGTGTAAAGTTATCCGAACTAAAGCTTTCTCTCTGCTGTCATATGATAGTAGTGCAAAGTTATCCGAACTAAAGCTTTCTCTCTGCTGTCATATGGTAGTAGTGCAAAGTTATCTGAACTAAAGTGTACCCTCTACAGATACAAACCAGAATCTTGAATTGTTCAGGTTATATAATGTGGATTACCATGTTTTATATCACTGGTATGGTTATCCATGGTGGTAACGATTTTGTTGAGCGACGACGGCTGATTTTTCCACTTCCAAACGTCGACAATGATCTTGGTGCTCTTTTATCATTACGCTCAAAGTTTAGTTTGACTTATGTATACTTTATTGCATGAGCATTGGATAGAATATATTTCCTGTTTTTGGAAACTATTGATGGGGTATTTATCTTTTTTTTTAGTTTACTTTAGAGTTTTCCAATTGACTTGAAAACTGGTTTGATTTGGTTGTTGTTCAATAATGTACCTATTTTATTTGAGATTTCTTCCTTTTCATATATTGCCAATATATATATATACGGACTTTTTAGTAACGCTAAAATGTTTTTAATGCTTAATATATTAAAAAATGTAACATGACTCCAGCAGTTTGTTTTACAAAACACAATTTACAACAGGGCTGCTTCGCGAAGTAAGTTGGATGATCTCTTGTAGTGACACAGCCCAAACCGTTAAGCCTTTACACAACATTTAAGTATATTATGTCACATCTATATAAATTTAATGTTGAAGTTGTCTATGCGTACTTAGGTATATTATATTACTATATGAGTTTTTATTTATGCTTTACCAAATTGGACAAGTTTAGGAGGAGGATATTTTTTATTAGATGGGTAAATTTAATGGTTTTATTTTTACTATCCAAGAGGTCTAAGCTATCAACTTCTTCTGAAACAAGTGCTTATTCAGAGCAGATAAGAGATGTCCTGGTGAGTACGTTTATTGACATATCTGTGTAACATGTTGAACTTTATACTAACTAAAGTTTATTGTTAGATTTTAAATATTTGAAAAGTAATTAAGCATTGACGTTTGAACTGGAACTGGGATATTTTGTAAATTTTCTGAATCTTGTTCAGTAATACGAAATGTATGTAAATGTACGAGGCTTTACTTCTAATGTGGGATTCTGTTGGAAGTAGAAACTATTCTATAATAGTGTTGTAAATTTACTATTCTGTAAATAGAAATTATTCTATAATAGTGTTTTAAATTTACTATTCTATAATAATGTTTTAAATTTACTATTCTATAACAGTGTTTTAAATTTGCTATTCTATAACAGGGTTTTAAATTTACTGTTCTATAATAATGTTTTAAATTTACTATTCTATAATAGTGTTTTAAATTTACTATTCTATAATAGTGTTTTAAATTTACTATTCTATAATAGTGTTTTAAATTTAC